AAAAACCAATGTACAAGCTGATGAACTCTTTGCTAAGCTCTGGAGAGTTCTGCCTTTCCAGTTGTCTATTTCGTACTTGCATATCTAATACACGTTCTACTGCTAGTACGCCCCTGAGAGAGCTGGCTTCATTTCTTCATTTCATTTCTCTCCCTTCACTGGTTCCTTAAGAAGGTTCTACAGCTTTGGTAAATTGTTTCATCATTTACCCAATGCTGAAACCAAAAAATCTAAGCAATATCTTTGTTTTATTCTCGTCATACTCTCACACCCTATTCATCCACAAATCCTATATCATCTACCTCCAATATGTATCCAGATTCATTTATAACTCTCCACTCCCTTCTACTTCCACCCTAGTCTAAGCCATCATCATCGTATGCTGACCTTATTCCGTATGCACGGGCCCATTTCTTCCTCGACAATCCATTTCAGAGCAGTCCTTTCTATTCTTTAAACAGGCCAATCTCTTTACTTTTCCAGGGTTTTGCTTTTCTGTTTTCCTGCCTAGAGAGCCCAGAACACTAATCCATACCCATTTATCCCATTTCTGATTCTGCCTTATCCTTCAAGAATCCCCTTGACTTTTATCTGCCCTGCAGTAGCCATCACTTACCCTATCACATCACCTTGTTTATGTTTCCTTAATAGTTTCAAACATTCTGTGTTTCACTTTATTCATCTGTCTACTACTTTCAACTGTTTTTTCAATAAAATTTTTGTGTTTATTGGCACATGTTTGCAGTACGTACTGATTATACTCCTCGGGGGGAGTTCTTATAGACACATAACACATCTTAATTCTTTTTTCATCCCTGTCTACTCTACTCCCTCTCTCAAGTGTTCCTTCCCTGAGTAGAAGGTAAGCTTGATCAAAGCAGAAACCATGCCTTTTTAGTATATGGCTCTGTCCACTGAAGCAAAAAGAGGCTTGTCCAACATGTGACAGACATTCAATGAGCATTTATCAAATAACTGAATGGGTGGATAATTCAGTGTATAACTGATGTCCAATTCCACTGAGGTTCCCTAAGCTTTTCATTTGTACTGAAATGACTCATCTTCACCCATCAGTGATAGCTTGATAGCTACTTATCTTAATTTATTCATTTACTTTCAAGTCTGCTTTAGAGTATTGATCATTTTCGTTAATGTGAATGCTGATAATAAAATGCTCTGGGCAGCTAATAGGAAAAGCGAAGGCAATGATGCCGATACACTCAGAATGTCTCCTGGCTGATGTGATCAATATCTAAACAAATGATGTCCACCCATCAATCATTCCTCCACTTCCTGCAGTTGACTCTCCCTGAGAGAATCATCAGATCCCTTCCATCTTGACAGCTTCACGTGTTGTCCCTGTGGGATCCCCCGTCTACGCAGATGGGAGGTGTCCATGACACTAAGACTTTAAAAGCCCCAAATGCAGAACAAGATTAGAAACCTCACCGGAAAAGTTAATGCTATCACAGGGTTCTGGAAAGGAGCAGAACATGAAAGTAAGTAAAGGTTTTTTCACTTTATTCACTTGAGACTTTTTCCTATTTTATGAAAAGCTTCATAGCTTTCTGTTTTATGTTTAGTGAGTATTTTAGGGGCCAAAGCCTGTTTGAACAATATTCCTTTAAAGATCAGAAAATCATTTTATTTTATCTCGAAAAAAATTCATTGATTCTTCCAATTACTTGGCAGTGTTGATGACAATAATATATTCCGAGGTAATAGTTAAAGTTGGACTCCGTGTTAACCAGAATGCAGGAGGGAGAACCTCTCCCCATATCGAGCATAAGAGCAGCGCCAGCAGTGAGGGCTTTGCAACTGTCCGGGCAGCAGGAAGCAGAAGACTCTATGGGCACCCAAATGACCTTCTTTGGTTCCTCGATTCATGTAGGGACCCAGCGGCCTGGCAGCGACGACCTTGGCTCTTCTCCTGATGTTCTCCGTTCTCGGAGACACCCGCGGCGCTCCGCAGGTAATCAGATGCAAACGCGAAGCCCCTCCGCGCCACGGGGCCACCACCCTCGCATTCTTTCTGTTTGCTTCCTCTGTGTCTCCCCTACCCCTTCTTTCTAGTTTTCTAAACTGCACTTCTTTCCTCCCCGGCTTGCAGAGACCGTTGGAGAGAAGGAACTGGACTCCGCAAGCCATGCTGTACCTGAAGGGGGCACGTGAGTTCCCACCGCTTTGCTCTTCCCCGGTAACTGAGATCCTTAGGGGTTCGTGCGCCCAGGGACAGACGGCTGGAGAGGGGAGGACAGGAATAGATCGGACTGTCTAAGCTCCCTTAGGTAACCGAGGCCACCCGCTCTGGGTGATCCAGTAAAAGGTAGGTGAAGGAGAGAGGAATAGCGGAAGTGTCCCTAGTGATGAGCTATCTTCCACCCTAAGCAGGAGCGTCGCGGTCTCGGCGCAAATGGATACTCGGGGCTGCCCGGCTGGTGATCGCGGGGGCCCGGGAAGTCTGGGCACCGGACCCCGCCTCAGCCCGCGTCTCCCCGCCTTTGCAGAGGGGCGCCGCTTCCTCTCCGACCAGAGCCGCAGGAAGGACCTCTCGGACCGGCTGCCTCCAGGTGGGTGGCGTCGGGCAGCAGATGCGGGCGCGGGGCGAGCAGCTTCTCCCCAGCTGCGACTGTCTCGCGAGGGCAAGCGAGTTACCCAGGCACAGGCGAGGCTGGGGATTCGCTCAGCTCTGAGTGCTTGGTGGAGCACCCCTGCAATCCTGGCGTTCTTGGGAGGCTAAGGCAAGAGGAGCGCAAGTTCGGGCCCACCCTGGGCAATTTAGTGACTTAGCAAAACCCTGTCTCAAAGTTTTACAGCGGGGAAGAAAGGCTAGGGACATAATTCAGTGTAAAAGCCCTTGGGTTCGATCCCTAGTACTGGAAGATTAAAAAACTGTACAACTGTCTCTGGAAATGCACCTGGTCATTTAAGGCAGTATCTTTACAAAGTTTATGCTTAAACAATAGAATTATTATTAGAACAATTATTTTTCCTAGGACCTGCACATGTAATCCTCTGATAATTACTAGAAAGAGCTGTCAAAAGGTTCAAATCCAAAGTGGTGAAGTGGAGGCTGTGAGAAAGGGACCAGGGACTCTTATTTTTTGAGATAAACCTTTCCACGGCAATGAATTAAAAAGTCACAATTCAATTGATCTGTATAAAACTGTAGATTGAAATGCTAAGAGTAAAAGCACACTTACTTTGAAAAATATCAAACGTTGTGTGTATAGTAAGGACTTAACATCTGTGTTTTGCTTCTTGAAGCCTGCGGTGTAGTTAAGGTTTCTTTTGTGCGAGGGTAAGATTAGTTTTCCATCTTCAGTTGCCTCCAAATTAAAAATCAAGATCTGTGTTGAATCAGGGCCATGTGCCTTCTGTCAACTTAGACTTGAAGTCACTTTGAATATTTAACAGATGCTTCTCCACTCAAATAATCACCTTGTATGTGACCAGGAATGTAGATTATTATCTCAGATTCCTTTGGAAAGAACAAGAGAGGAGATAGCACAGGCTCTAAGCAGGGTGGTATCTAAATCTTTCTGCCCAGACATCCCATTTTAAACTGTGAAGAGAGAAATTTCCCGTGAGCTCTTTCTTTTAATCCTGCTTCCATGTATGGAATTCTGTGGAGTATAGTATAAGTTTAAAATTCCCTTCCATATCCTGCATGTAAACACAACATAACTAGCTGAAAGTCATTTTCAAGGGAACTTGGGGGGAAAAAAGTGTTCTATATACTCTCTGTTTAGGAATCAAAAATCTATTTCATAGAGCTTGTTCTACCGTTGTACCTTACTAGAATACAATGTATTAATATGAATATTGAAATGCTAATAGAATCTTTTTATATTTTTGTTTCTCCAGAAAGACGAAGCCCAAATCCCCAATTACTACCTCTTCCAGAGGCTGCAGCACTATTGCTGGCTTTGTTGACAAAACCACAAGAAGGTACAAATACAGTGACCGCTTTTTACTTCAGGACAGAGCAGCTCTGCTTACTTTTGGAAGCTGTGTTGGGTGCAGACTCCTCCTCCCTCCCCAAATTCATAGAGATATTTATTGTATAACAAGTATAACCAGTTATACTTATAACCAGATATTACATTCAATAGCCAATATGTTTCTCATTAAGATGAGTCCCAATAAAATAAAAGTACTTGCAGGGTGAGCCTAGGGAATTTTATATGAATTCCGCAATCTGTACCCTACATCTCTCTTAGAACCTTTAAAACTGAAAGAGCCTCAAGTCCAACATGACTATTTTAGGTGAAAACACTGAGGCCAAAAAGGTTAAATAATCACAAATCCAGTTGCTTACCAGTAAAAGTGAAACCAAGTGGAATTGCTGAAGGTCAACCAGAAGTCAAGGATGCAGTCTTAAGGCGAGATGGGATGGGGAAAAAAAGAGTTTAGTTAGTTTCATTAGTTTCTTGTAATATTTTTATTCTAAAGTTCCTAAGTATTATTTGGAAGTCTTTTCTGGGGTGAATTTTTATTTCAGTGAAATGTAAACTGGGTTACTTTTCTGGTTGGATGTGATTTTTTTCTTTTTAAGTAACATCCCATTATTTTCAATATTTCAAAAATGTGCTAGCAATGCAGGTTAAGAGGTAGCTCAGGCATCCGGATTATACTATAACTAACAGAGGAAATATGGTTTCATCTTGAGGTGATCTCAGAGAAAATTAGGAGATGCAGTTTGCTTCTAGCTACTCCTCCCTACCTGCTTGCAGGTTAATTCCCTTTCACCCTATCTTTAGTCACAGGAACTTATTACTGTCTGACTTAAATATCCTGCCCCAGATGTGATATCCCATGCTATGAAATGTTGCAGTTCTACCCAGCTAACAAATGTTCCTGTTCTTTTCTTACTGTCTGCCCGAAGAAATCACCTAATAAAGGAATAGTTTCCGATGAGATTGAGTACATTCAGGTGGTATGGCCCTAGACGCCTAATAAAGGAATATTTTCAAATGTGTTCCTATGCTAGCTTTCCTGAGTAAGATGCATTTTATAAGAAAATACATAGAAAGTACTTTGACACAAGAAAGTGCTTGTAATGGCAAGTATTTTAGACATGAGATATATTTATCAGAGCAAGCCATATGGTCCTTCAGATTTCTTCCAAATCTACCATCTTATAGTTTCAATAATTATAGAGATTCAGATGTAAAATGTAAATTTCTCAACATATCCCAGGCTGAGGGGAGAAATATAAAAACCAAACAAATCCAAACCCAGTTTTATTTTTAAATTTTCAGTGACAGATCCTACAAGTGCATACAACTGAGATGGCTGAATGTGTATTTTTTGAGATTTTCTTCATGTTTTTCCCTTTTCAAACAGAATGTATGTTAAGTAATTTTTTTTTTTCTCACAGATGGAGAAGAAAAATTTGATCAAAGCAGATTCCTGGAAGACAGTCTGCTTAGCTGGTGAAAATATACCAGATTACATTCAAGTACAGATCTATTCTTGTTGATAATAGAAACCATGCATATAAAATAATTGGACCCTTTTTACTCCATTTGTAATCCTAGAATCACGCATCACTCATTTGATTCTTCTGGAAGCAAAAGAAGCGTAGGGTTCTTGATTTTCATTGTTTCAGGTCATGTGTTGCTCACCTTGTGTCTTGCTTTTGAGTTTTTCGAGCGTTTCTAATGATAAAGCTGAAGACTCTAAAGTGTTCTTTCTTTCTGTCTCTACCACTGCCTGTCTTGATCTTAGCTGTTGGTCTTTTATTCCATTACCTGTTTGCATTTTATTATCCCTGAGCAATGATTCTTTCTCTGTTTCTCCTTCTCCTCACCCCCAAAGAGGGGGATATACGACAAGATGGGAAAGAATGTAACTCTCTGTAGTTCATCCAGGGAGATAAGTTGTTAAGAAGGGAAGTGGGATGGCTGGATAGAAGCATCATGAAAAGAACACCTCAGTGTGGTTGCCAAGAGAAGACTGGTGAGGTTAGAGACAGTGCAAGATTTGCCAAAAACCTACAACAGGAAGCAACCTTGTGCTCTGAAGGGTTCCCAAGTTAAGAAATACGGATTGAAATGTTCTTGAGAAATCGGCAGATGAAGAGACGGTCTGCTCATGTGTTTGTTGTACAAAAGGAATGAACTAGTCTTTTAGAGATAAAACCATTTTCCATGGCTAAGCAAACTCAGGGGAGTCCAACACTATTCTCCCTGATTGGCTAGATTTCTAGGCTTTGACACCACAAATTTACTTTAAATTACCCCAGTAACACAGTTCAATAATATAGCTAATTTGCTTCTTTTCAAAGTCAACCTGGACTCTATCATTTCAACACATACACACACACACATACCCTTACCTGCAGAATTCCTAGTAATGTATTTGGAATTACAAGATTGTCACATTTTATTACCTGATCAATTCAGAGTTGTTCCCAATAAATGTCTTAAGTGGAAAGCATTGTTAATTATATTGTCATCATTATGTAGCCATTACTTAGTAGCCAAAGAGTATCTTATATTAATGTCTGTAACTTGAAATGTTTTCACTGTTAAGTAATCAAAACCATGCTTAAAAAATTGCCTGCATCTTGTTTCATAACTGAATAATGAAACCCAACTCAAGTTAATGTAATATTTTTCTTTGCCAAAAATGCAAGCAATTAAAAATCTATGTGGCATTATAATAGGCACCTGTCATTAATTACAATTTGATTTCAAAGTAGATTTGCTAGACAGTGCATATATCCAATCTATTGAAAATTTAGTCCTTGAACCTAAGCTTGTACATATCGCCTACATAAATGTTTATTTGAAGAATATTTTAAACATCTATATTATGAAATAATTCTTCCCACAACTAACCAGAACAATCTCAATTACCTTATACTAGAGTTTTCAAAAGCTTTCTAAATGAGCAAGCCCTATGAAAGACAGCTCCAAGTAATATAAGTACTTGAATTCTTTGAATGCTCTGGCTTATAAATGTGCTGATTAATCATATTTGTCTCCAGTTTCCAATTCACGTGGTTTGTCTCACTCCATTTTTTGCTTTTTCTTTCTTTTTTGGTACTGGGAATTGAACTCAGGACCTTGCACTTGCCAGGCAGGCTCCTGTGCCACTGAGCTATATCCCCAACCCTTCTATTTTTTGCTGTTGAGGCAGAGTACTTAAGACTGAGTCATTTGGGAAAAAAAAAAAAAAAAGAGGTTTATTTGGCCCAGGAATCTGGAATTTAGGAGGTCCGAGAAGATGGCTCTGGCATCACCTCTGCTTCTGGTGAGGGTCTCCTCTTGCTTCATAGCATGGGCATTAAAGCAAAAGGGTGAGCACAGGGGCACATGTAAAAGAAGCAAACACAAAAGACACCCTTGTTTTATAAACAGCACATTCTCTTCTTAGCTAATCCAGTGCCCGGAGTCCTCAGGGAACTATATTAGTCACTTTTACCAACCAAATCCTTCCCCCTTCTTTTTTGATACTGGAGATTGAACCCAGGGTTTTGTGCATCCTAAACCTGTGCTCTACTACTGAACAGCACCCTCAGCTCCCAAAATCACCTCTCACGGGTCCACCTCCCACCACCGCCGGCATAGTGGCAAACAGATTTCAACCTGAGTTTCAGATGGAACAAACTACAGCAGAGTTTTTTGCTATTCTCTTTATTTCTGTGCTTTTACAAGCTGAAATGAGTAAGGGGTCATAGATTGAAAAAAAGTTCACATCATGTAGCTTGTACCTTAGATTGGAAAATTACTGTCTTCAACACATATTCATGTAATAGAACATCCCACCTCAAGAAGGGACTTTCAGCCACTTTCAAAGTCGCCTTTCCCCTCTTTGCCTCTATGTCCTCCCTCCAGCCTGGGCTCTCAATTACTGTTTCCCTGCGTTTCCCTGATGCCTCCTCTCCCCACCACACCACCTGTGTGATTCTGAGAAAGGAGAGGGAAAAGGCAAGAAGGTCCTGGCTTATTCAAGTCAGTGTCCAACCTGCACTTCTTCTTTACCTGGTTAAGAGAAATAAAAACATATGTCCTATCAAGCTTGAGGTACATTATTGTATCTTGGCCAGAGGAGAAAGGGGAAGTTGGGAATGCAACTTTATTCTTCCCAGTGTCTTCCTACTGACTACATTCCTTTAGGAAGAGTTCATTCATAATTTCATTTGATCTGCACAGCCACCATGCAAAACAGGCAATGGTATCACTCACATTATTTCATAGAAGTTTGGGCTCATCCTATGAAGGCTTTTGGACTTCTTCAAGATTTGACCTGTCCCTTTTTGAGTCCTCCTATAGCCTGGGGAACCATAACTACCCTGCTGAAACACTGTAATACACTGGAATATGCCAGTAATAAGCTTCATTCACCTATCCTCCTGCCACAGAAGGTAGGGTGGTATTTTGATTAGCTTGGACTGCAGAAACAAAATGCCATAAACTGGTTAGTTTATAAATAGCAAATGTATTTCTCATGGTTCTGGAGGTTTGGAAGTCCAATTTCAAGATGCTGGCAGAACTGATACTGTGAGGGCCTGCCACGTAGCTTTCTGATGTGTTTTACTTTTTTTCTTGTCTTTTTTTGGTAGTCAAAGTTGAAAACAAGGCCTTATCCATGCTAACCATGCACTCTGGCTCTGAGGTACACCCCGACCACCTCAGCTAATCTTTTATAAGATTATTAATCTCATTCATGAGGATGATCAAAAAAAATGTTCACATTAATCTCATTCATGAAGATACTGTTCTCAAGACCTAATCATTCCCCAAAGCCAGAACTTGCTAATATCATCATACTGGGGATTAAAATTTCAACATACGAATATTGGGAGAACACAGTACTCGGACCTTAGGAGGTGGCACAATCCATTTTTAAAAGTCATCTGATGAAGCACAATACACTATTTTCTATACTTGCATTCTTTTTTATTATTATTAATCAATTACTTTTATTTTTTGGTAGGAATTCACCAATGGTTGTTATATTGCATATTGTCTTCACATTAGTTGCTCAGATTACCAGATATAAGCATGCAAAATTGGTCAAAATATATAAAAAATTAAGCATTAACTGTTTCTTTCAATAAACCACCAGCATTCTTTAAAAGCATCAATTTTTTGTACATTTACTTCTTCCAACAAGACCATTTATTCATGCAACTCCTCTGCACACAAGGTTATCCTATTAGACACAAAGTCCTCTACTAACAAGCCCAGGTGTTTCACCCCCAGGTTTTGTTGAACTTGGGGAAAGTATAAATAAATGACTAGGATGGAAACAAGTGTCAGCAGCTGTCTCAGTAGAAAGCCTCGTGCAGGGTAAAAATTCTCATTTCTACAGTTGACACTCAAAGCCAGATGTTTTCAACTCGGTTAATTTGTGTAGTTATTTCTATCGCATGCATTTCTAATCACAGAACTATTACCATTGAACAAAAAGCATTTATTTTTAAGGTCTTCTACTGAGATATTTTACTATACAGTACATCATTCTTTCAATAACAGTAAACCAATTTACCAACCAAGAGTACCTTTTGAATGCACACATTGTGTTATTTTACTGTAGATACATTTGCATGACTGTTGTAACAGTGAGACTCCCCCCACAGTTATGAAAATTTTCTGGGCATTTAACAAACAATTCTACATCAGAAATCTGCATCATATTTTTTCTGCTCTCTAGTGCACAGTTTTTCAAACTTCTTTGCAGATCTGAGGTTAACTAGCATTGGCAGAGCAGAGAGGTAAGCTTTAGATAATTTGTTTCCTCCTTGAACCTCTAGAAAGAGTAAATTCACAGCTGTCTTCTATTTTGGGTTGATTTGTTGCTTATATCCATTATATGTCACTTTTCCCTAGTCATTGGGGAAGTGGGAGATCTGGCTTTGAGGTTTTCATTGGTCTTGAACCATGGACACATTGTCTTTGTCGCTCTTCAATTTCTTTTTTTTGGAGCCAGGAACTGAACTCAGGACCTTGTGCTTGCCAGGCAGGCGCTGTGCCACTGAGCTATATCCCCGGGTCACTCTTTAATTGTTACCATCAATAACCAAGCACTGAGAAGACCTAACCATTTTTGAGCCTCTATAAACAAAAGTCAACTGATATGTCTGTCAGTCAAGGCATTCACTGTGCGTGAGAGGAAACTCACACAGTAAATGACTACTCAGTAATTAAAAAGGAAAAAAAAGAATCCAAGAGTGAATGTCCTCTGTTTTCATTTTTTTGTCAATTTAGATTTAATCACAGTTAAAATGTAAACCAATTTAAGTATAACTATTCAATATCTCTAAGCACAACCCAGAATACGTTAGAGACATTGTTCTTATCATAATTAAGTAGACACAACTTTTTGCTTTTTTATAAAGATAGTTTTAAATGTTACATTAGGTGTTGTTCATGTCAGGTGCTTTACGTGCTATTCTGCTGTCTAAAAGATTTTTAAACACAACATTATCAATAAAACTTAAATCTTTAAATATTGATATACTTATTCCTTTGGATTTAACAATTTGTCATTGATGGGGGATTTAAAAATTTTTCAAAAAAAGCTTTACATTTATTTGCTTTTTGTTTTTCTGTCTTGTCATTTTTGAGACAGGGTTTCTCTATGAAGCTTAGGCCTCAAACTCACAGAGATCCTCTTTCCTCAGCCTCCTAAGTGCTGGGACCACAAGCATGCACCACCACTCCCAGTCTAAGCTTTCCATTTACACAAGAAAAGAATGTTACAGTAAGTTGATATACTATAGGTGGCAACATCTATCACTGATTTCAGTGAGAGATCAGTAAGAGTTATTTAAAATACGTAAGTAGTGAACATTCATAGCTACAATGAGTGAGGTTGAACCTCCTGAGGTCCAGGGACCTGGGCCAGTGGTAAGCAGCGACACGGTGCAAGGAAGACACCGGAGATCAGGCTGATGGCGCAGATCCGATTTTATTGTGGAAGTATCAGCTGTTTTATAGAGCAGGCTAGAGGCGTAGCAATAGAGGCGGGCTAGGGGCATGGTTTGGAGGTGGTATTATTGACGGGGGCGGTGTGGAAATAAGAGGTCAGAGCGGGACAGCCTAGGCAAGGCGATTTACGCGGTTTGCCGAGGAGTCTGAGTTTGCTCAGACTCGTCCCTCCGCCACGGCCGTCAACCAGACTTCTGGACCTCTTTTTCCCACAAATGAGGATCTTTGGGAACCAAATGGGAGGTTTGCATGGTTCAGCGCAGATGTTGTCTAAATACTAAACACAGAAGTATGATGATGACTAATGAAAAAACAAACCCTGAGCTGGACATTATGGCACATACGTATGTATAATCCCAGCACTCTGGGAGGCTAAAGCAGGAGGATTACAAATTCAAACCCAGGCTAGGCAACTTGGCTACTTAGTAAGACCCTGTCTCAAAAAAAATAAACATAAAAAAGGCTGAGGGATGTAGCTCGGTACAAAGGTTGAGAATTCCATTCTCAGGACTGAAGAGAAAAAAAACTACTGGTAAAAGGATATTTGTATTGCCTACATCAACAACTGTTAAAAACTGCCAGTCTTGTTCCTTTAACATTCCTCCTCCTTGGGGCTGGGGATATAGCTCAGCAGCATAAGCACCTGCCTGGCAAGCTTGAGGTCGTGAGTTCAATTCCTGGTACAAAAAAAAAAAAATTCCTCCTCCTACCTAAATTTACAGGAAAAACATGAGCAATCATAACTTCGATTTTATTCTAAATTACAAAATTGCCATTCATGTACTCTCTACTTTCTAGGCAGAGAATAAATTCCACTGTGATTCTGAGAAGAAAATGAAGCGAAATATGGCATTTTCATCCTTTTAAATAATCACTCGGACTGTGTTCTTACTGAAGCAGCTCAACTCAGCGAGGATGGCATTCAGTTCTTGTATTCACCATGCAGCTTTTTCTTCCCACGAGGCATGTGGCTCAGAGGAAAGGGCGACTTAATATTTAACCGATCCCTTTCCGCCTCCTCCTCCTCGTTGTATCGCTCATCCTCACTTTCATCTTCCACATCGCTGCTCTGAGGACTGGAGGCCTGAGACCCTGATGGGGAGGGTGGTACAGAGGAAGGCCTGGGGTATTTAAATCCATCTGTCTGTCAGAGACAAAATGAGACAATAACGTTATTACTTCTTGGTTTTCAAGTATGTAAACATTGTCCTTTGTTGTCTACATGGTTTGCACTTAAGCACCATCCAATTGAGTTAAGAAATATATTGCTAAAACTCACATAATAATATTAACAGTCCCACAGCCTTGTGGGACCACATTACTAGCTCTCCAGGGCCATCTGCAGCTCAAGGGCCACAGGTGGGACATACCTGATTTGTCCTTTAGATATACCTAGCACAGTTGCAGGACATGGGCAGTTGGATGTGTCAGGGATAACCAGTACTAGACAGAATCCTGGAAGCCAGGCTGCTTAATTGACCCCAAAATTCCACCACTTGCTGTTATTTCAGTTAATGCACAAATATCACTAGGTTTTAATCAAATTGCTTGCTACCTAAGAATCCCTGAGAAACCTCATTCATAACGGTGTACTAGGCACCAGCTCTGTGTCAGGTACTGCAATGCCACCAGTGACACAAATTGGGAAACATGGTCCCTGCCCTGCACTCGGGGAGTGCATATGCTGAGACTGGAAGACAAATGTGTGAAAGTGTTACAGCAACGGCCATTCTGTACTTCAACCATGTTTGCACATTACTGTTATGTATCATCATTTTCAGGTTTAGGGGCTTTATTTGAAAGAATTACACATACAGAAAAGCTGAATTCTGCCCTTAGGACCACAGTCAGAGTAAGAGCTAAACACTTATCAATTGAATAAGTAAATAGGTAAATATAGTTATGTTATTAAGAGGAGTATCTGCCTTTAAAAAAGCAATCAATTCTCTGAGCATTAGCACGGGAGTTGGGATTTGTAGACAGGACAATTAAGAAAGCCATTTTTGCCTTCTTTATGGGCTAATCTTTTTTATTGCTTCCTCTGGAAACCTAATATAAGTAGACTATAAATTATGAGTAGGTAGAATCATTCATGACAAAAGTAACTCCTAATTGAAACCTTTCATGAGATCTTGTGTGCACTTGAAGGGTTCATAAATACTTAACAGGGATTTATAGTTTTGGGGGATCCCTATGATGAGTCATAACTGAGCATATTCCTTTGGGGGATTGTGGAAAGCTACTTTTAGAGATGTGATGCGACACTAGCTCATGCAGAACATAGAGCTACTGGGCTAAGGTGGATCTTTGGCTGGTTATTTTTTGAAATGGGTTCTTGCTTTGTTGCTCAGGCTGGTCTGGACCTTGTAGACTCAAGTCAACTTCTCATCTCTGCCTCCTGAGTAGATGGTAATACAGGTGTGCACTACCACACTATGCTAAGGTGAATCCTGTACCCAACAGCACGAGTCTTATCTCTTTGCCCCTATGATGTCGCCTAGGACATAGAAAGCCAAACAAGTTTAGCTTTTGTGTCACTGTGTAGACTTCTGCAAGGACTGATCTCATTAAAGACAAACAGCTGATAACTACCCTGCTTCAAGTTGCATTTCCTGTCTTCTCTGCTTCTAAGTGAATCTGATAGCAAATGTAACCTACGGTGGTCTCGTGACTATAAATGCCTCATTTGAATTCAGAAGAGGACTCCCTAGAAGTCACTGCTCAGTGGTACATAAATGTGCACCTGATCTAGTTCTTCCTGTGATGCTTGAGTTTATTTTATTCTTGCCAAGTGGTCATCCTATATTTAACACACACCCTTGGGTAGTACATGTACTTCCTGTTAAAAAACAACCCAGTTTCATTTTGAACAACCCTCAACAGAATGGGTCACTATGAGCCTTAAGACAGAGTTTTCACTGACAGAACCCTCTCCAACATACTTCTCCTAGACAAGGTGAATGGAATCAGGGGCTCTGAGATAGTCAGATTTGTGAGTTTTTTTCTTCTTTGCTTCGATTCAACACACCCCAAAAGAGTGTATTTTGTGTACATAGCTACCTTCAGATTTAAAAGCTTTGTTAGAGCTTGTCACAAATAAGAAATTTAGCTTTTAAAACAAAGAATACATTAAATATTTACCGTTGGCAGTGACATAGTTTCCACATGGAAATTATCTGGAAAAGCTCTGCTTAAAGTCAGATGTCTGGCATGCTGGTAATACTGTTGACAGAAAGACAGTTCACAAGTTAAGAAAAAGTGCTTGGATATCTCAAAATCTAACTGATATATAAGGTCTTATTTTCCTTGTTCTGAAATTTATTTTTTATTTTATTTACTTATTTTTTTTTTTTGTCTTTTTGGGACAGGGTCTCGCTATGCAGTTCAGGCTGGTCTTGAGCTCACTTTGTAGCCCAGGCTGGTCTCAAATTCACAATGATCCTCCTGCCTCAGCCTCCTGAGTGCTGGAATGATAGGCACATGCGACCACACCCAGCTGAAATTTATTTTAACTAATACATAAAAACTTAAAAGTTACATATATTTAAAACATACCATGTAATTTTGGTACATGTACACATGGCATTGAAATACACCTAGTGAACATATATATGGCATAATCTATTCCCCCTAAGTTTGAGAATTAGGAAAGAAACAATGATCTATAGTTTTACTGTTTTTCAAAACATAGGCAAAACTACAAAAATGTTGGAGTATCAGTACTAGCCCTACTGAGCTCTGAATTGTGTACTAAGTTACTGAAAACACTCCTATAATTCTACAGAGAAACAGTGTCTTAGAAAAGAGACAGGGCCTGGATAGTCAGACAGATTGTATACAAATCCTGCTTCAGACCTGATGTAAGAAGCATCACTCCTAATAGCTTTGCCTCTCTGTTTTCATTATACAATGGAGACAGTAAAATTAATCGTCCAGTGAGCACTGGCATCACTGTGCATAGGTATTCAGCCAATAGAAGCATCTGTTATTTGGCTAGGAGAGTTTGGCAATATGCAAGTGGATTACATGTAGGCAAAGTCAATTTATTTAATATTAAATCGTTTATTTCTAAGATATGTGAACATCTGGGTGTTTATATACCAACTGCATAATCTACTAGAGGTATTTTCAGTTCTTGTCCTTTTGAAAAAAGTATCACTTTCACCTCTTACTGTAGTTAGGGAATATGATCACATTACCTCTCTTGAGCAAGAACTTTAATAAAGGAGATCCTTTTTCATCCCTTGGGCTGTCTTGATATTTTCTCTGACTTCAGGAAGCGTTTCTGTATAGTTGTAGTGCATCAAATGAAACACTGACAATAGATTCGCTAGGCAGATTAGTGCTAGATCCTGATAGATTGCTATTACAGATGGACTCAAACTCACTGCTAAGAGTTGAATTTAGGTCTTTGAAAGCTCACATTAAGTTAAAAAGTACATGGAGACATCACCAAGATTTTAACAATGAACTGACTGTACAGATCATGACTAGAATCCATGCTTTAACCGTCCAGTGGAACTTTTAAAGCGGTTCCTCTGTGTTTACCAAAAACCTACTTACTCTGCCCAAGTATCTCCAGTCCAGAAGATCTGAGAGCCTCTCAGTCCGGTTCCTCTGGATGATTCTTTGGCGGCGTGATTGTTTGCAAAATCCGTAGAGAAACTGGGTCAGCTGATTGCAAGAATCATCTGGAGAGCGGAACCGCCTATCAACAATGTAAATACCTGAACAGCACAAAAGCCAAAGCACTGGTAAGAATAGGGCTGATCATGAAATATTTCTCCTATTCTTCATTATATATTTGGTTCTATCAAAGAGCATATGCACCACCTACTGCCTGACTTAGCTTCTGCCAATGGTTCATCTTTTCCCTTCTAAGGCTTTATATCTTCTGCAGTCTTCTAAATGGTTTGACCATCCCCACCAGCCAACAAAGTGGATCTTACTAACAGGAAGAAAAAAAGGCTGACATCTAGGGAGATGCTGGATCAGTGATTCTCCAGGGACTGCTCACTAACCAGGATCTCTTGGGGCAGGACCTAGGGTACTGCTTTTTAGCCTCCTCAGTTCCCACCACACAGCCATACTCTAGCGTGAGGAAAGAGGACAGCCACAGTGTAACCAAAGGAACTGCCAACTTATAGGTATGGAATCCACCCTATCCTAACTTTTCTTGCTGTTAGGAAACCTGGGCAGATAGTCAGTGGTATGCAGCTTTTCTTGCCATCTTAAACAATTTCAGTGATATTTCCTGGATTGGCACAAATAGTAAAGTAAATAATAATAGAGGTATCTATAAAGGTCTTATGTTATTATAAAGGTCTTATATTATATCTAAAGCACACATATATTTAAATATACAATAATGTATTTGTTTTGAATATAATGACCAATCTATGTACTCTAAGACCATGGTAATTATAATATCACTCTACAAAGTAGAGGGCCAAGCCAAACCTCAGGAAAAAACTAACTGTATTGGAAAAAAGAAAAAAGTCAAGGATAAAGTTTGTCCAGGTTTTGCATTTCTTTTGTGGTCTGTCTTTTGGGCAATATTTTTAACATTGATAGCATTCTTATCTATGGGCCATGTAACTAAATCTACTTTTAATGAAATAAGAAATATAAAGATTCATTTACTTATCAGGACAGCTTTAGAGTTAGGCTCTATTAAGACACTGTGCCCTCTTCTTAGAGGTCAGGTCTCCCCAGGTTAGGTTGATGATGAAAACCTCACCGTAAGCTGTTGGATCAGCTACATGCTCCTGCATGAAACAACCAAAGCCAGAGAGGTTTGTGGTCACACTGGGGATCCCCATCACCGTGCATTCGGCTGCCAAGACAAAGACACAAAGGTTTGGTTAGCTTCAGACCAGCTGCTCACGAGCATGCAGTAGAGAAAAATGCTCTTATTGGCTCAGTAATAGCGGTGTTGACTTTATGCCAGGGAGGTATTAAGTTTTTTCCATGTCCATCAATGCACTTAATCTTCACATAGTGAAGAGGCACTATCATTATCCCGGATAAATGGAAGTACAGAGAAGTTAAGTGCCATGGCCAACTTCACAAAGCCAGTGGAAATGGTAGAGTGGAATTTGAACCAGGAACCCAGCTCCAGAATCCTCGCTGGGCTGAATGTCTGTGCCCTTCTGCCTGCCTCTCCAAGCACACCTAGGTTTGTTTTTGTTTTGCTCTGACCTGAGCCTGTGACTCTACCTGGCAAATGTAAGGGATAGGGTAAATATGATTTGGACATGACCAGCTTCTCTTCTCATATAAGTCTTCTCTGCCCAAGTCTCTGCCACTTTCTTAGGTGCTCAGGGAACCAATGAAATCTTTCAATACTTCCTCTTTTGGAAAATATAGTACATCTTAAAAAGTCTACTGCTCTCAAGGAGGTATAATTTTTGGTTGTTTGGCTTTGGTTTTTGAAACAGGATCTCACTAGGTAGTTCAAGCTGGCTTTAAACTTGCTGTGTAGCCCAGGCTGGGCTCAAACTAATGATCCTCCTGCCTCAGCCTCCCAAGTACTGGGATTACAGGAATGTGTCACCACACCTGGCAGATATATGCATTTTTGATGAAGAATTTATATCTAAATATTAAATTTCTCATGGTTATTCATCAAGTGTGGGTACAAAAGTGATCTTCCTGTTACTCATAAAGTAATACTGTATGGATAGCAGCTTCATTTCTTGTTCAAGCATTTCTTCTTGGTTTAGATCTTCAATAGAGATCAGTGATTCTACAATTTTGAGGCATGATAAAGGGGAAGAAGATGGATTGAGATTATGAATCTCTCTGAAAATCTGATGACAATTCTGGAATTCCTCCCCAGGCAAATTCAATTCATGTAACTATGTATATGTAATTTTGCCTGCAATTCCGTGGTCTGGTCTTTTCCTTCCTTTTCTTTTCTTTTCTTTTCTTTTCTTTTCTTTTCTTTTCTTTTCTTTTCTTTTCTTTTCTTTTCTTTCTTTCTTTCTTTCTTTCTTTCTTTCTTTCTTTCTTTCCTTCTTTTTTTCTTTTTCTTTCTTTCTTCTTTCTCCCATACTGCAGATTTCTTTTTTCTCCCATACTGGATTTCTCCCATACAGGGCTTTCTCACTCACCTACACCACTGGCCCTTTTTCTCATTTTTAATTTTGAGACAGAATCATGCTTAACTGCTGAATTAGCCCCAGCTGGGTTCAAAGTCAGACTCCAACCTTAGCCACCCAGAGTGTCAGGATTACAGGTGTTCACCACCATGCCCAGCTAGATCTTACTCTTTTTTTATTACTAAATAGTTATTAATAAACTTTGCAGTAATGTTTCAGGCAACCACGCAAGCCTTATTTAATGAAATAAGTGTCTGTATAATTTACCTTTCTTAAAACATTGAATAGACATTAATGAATGCTTAGATTCAATATCACATACAATTATTCTAAATAGAAATCAAGGAGGTATCTAATATGCAAAGTTAAATTTATAACACCAGAACTCTTGCTATTTCTTTAGCTGTAGGTTGAGGGCTGGGGATA